TTTGGATGAGTGAAGTCTGAGTTTCTTGGCAGAGATCATCCTTCTTTGAATATCGTGTACTGGTGCCACATAATCACAAACAAAGAACCGTAGCAAATAGCAGAAAGCACATCGCTTGTGGACTACCAACAGGAGTAACAACTAAAATGGATAGCACGTGTTATTCGAAGAGAAAATAATGACCTAACGAAGGTGTTACGTTACAACTACTCCAAGTAAAAAGTCAGGGAGAAAAGCTCCATCAATATCAGAAAAAACGATCACAACTTCTAGACTTAAAAAACCTATTTTCCCTAAAAATATCAATAATGTTTTTCCGTAAATTATTTCTTATTAATATAACCTTATATTTAATGGATAAACGCGTTTTAGTAGATATCTCTGCTTTTAAAATAACGAAATTAATATTTGCTATAAAATTTTGAAGGCTCTTAAAGTACATCACTTTAATTAAGTAATTGGGCCTTTTTTGTAATGACTTCCTGTAAACAACGCCTGGTTTGATTATGTTTTATCAGACCAAAGAAGGAATACAGGTACGATTCCTGTCGGGATAACATTTTTTAATAAGACTTTCAATCTCTAGACCGGTAAATGTTAATTGCATTGTTTAAAAACTCAGATGTCTACTCAACCACGTGCACCCAACAAATATAACGCTTATAGTAAAATTATATATATATATATATATATATATATATATATGCACCTTATGTGTATGTGTTTTAGATAATGAGATATACCTATTTAAGCTACTAAATCAAAAGAAGACCATTAAACTTGTATTTGGCGTGAAAATGTGTTTTATGTTGCATTGTTCCCATGAAGTGTGTGCACGCTTTTCATTTTTCAACTTTTTATTTCTCTCAGCGATATAAAAGCCAAAAAAAACAGAACAGGTGAATACGTAAGTCGTACGCATGCATTAGGCACAGTGGTAATAAATAACTAAATGAATATTATCCGTTAATTTGTGATTTTAAAGTCTATACATAAAGGAGGTTGGATCGAGCATAAATAATTAAAGTGACTCAGTATCCATTTCGAATACTTAGTGTTAGGTTACAGACAGATAAAAAGTGACTTTTAATTAGAAAATACGCACTCACCCCGATACACATGAAAAAATATATACATACACACATATATACACAAATACTTAGACATATATATACATAAACGCATACACACGTTGCTATGGGTAAATTGTTGCAATTTTATATTTTTAATTTCGCGCATGCGCAATGTGTGATTTTGATTTTGTCGACTGCACAGTACAGTATGGTTAGTTGGTCACCGTCTGTAAGAAAAAGAGCACCAAGACGCAATTCTTTCCGCCAGAAATTTGAAAACGGCATACTGTACTTCTTGGCATTTGCACCGGAAGCTCCAATACGAACATTTCAGAGTGTTTGGGTGTTAATCTGAGGACAGTGCAGAAGAATCGGAAAGGGTTGGGTGAATCTAATCGTGATTACGAAGGTGTTTGGGGTGATCACTACTGATGGCGACGTTATGCCTCCATTCATCTTCCCACAGGGCCTCAGACACAACACGGAGACCTACATCGTGCCTTGAGTGAGTAGTGCTCCCCTGACTCAAGAGGGTGTCTGCTGGAAGACTCTATGTCTAGTAACAGGACTGCACCATGCCACACAAGCAAGAGAAGCCAGTCATGGCTGTCAGACAATTTCTGCAACCACATCACCCCTTACATCTGGTCACCTAACTCCCTAGAGGGCACCCCCCCTTGATTATTATGTGTTGAGCGAGCGACAAACAAAATTCCTTGTAACACTAAGGATGAACTGAAAGTAAAGATTATGGCAGCATTTGCACACTAAAACAAGGAGACCGCCCAGAAAAGTTGCACGAGATTCCGAAATGGAAGGACGTGTTTGAAGCTAATGGCGATTTTATTGAATAAATTTATTCTTTAATATTTCAAGATAGTTTTATGTAATTTTGATAATTATATCTGCTAAACTGAGATGTCAGTGTTATTTTAATTTTTGCGTCATGTAGACGACAATTTATCCATCGCAACCTATTAGTGTAGGCCTATTGTATTTTCTTGTGCATAATACGAGATATTTTGAACGAGATAAAAGTAGGTCGTATTATACACAAGTACACGTTTTCAGAAATTTTTACTCATCTTAAAAAAACCTCTTCTTTGAAACAGCTAGATTGCAAATACTCAGTTTTACTCACAATATAAAGTTTGTACGTTGATTTTCTTGTTTTTTATAAAGCTTTCTCTCTTCTTTCTTAATTAAAGACAATATTTTTATTTTTATAGCTTATTACAATATAGAAATATAATAAAATCATATAAAACAGAAAAATATGATAGATTAATTAACACCTTAAAATGTATTACCATGTATGTCTAGTTAGCACCTTTCTTGGGAAATTCGAAAATATTAATATCTTAACGCCCGGTTCATTTCTATTCTTTAATATCGTGAGAAATTATATATTTTAGTGAAATATATGTCCGTCATTGAGATTTTAATGGATAATATGATACAACTTTACAAAGAAAATTTCCCTAGAGAAGGTTGTAGTATGAGGTCGTATTACATTCAAAAATTCAGAATTACCGGGTTATATTATACTCAAGTCATATTATACACAAGAAAATATGGTAATAGAAGAGATGGAATGAAACAAAAAAATAGGATTCTTAATTCTTAGAAAAACACCCGCAATTGCTCTCCAGATTATAAGAGTAAAGAATCTACGTATACCTGTACAAGATCGGCATCAGTATTAGAATAGCAGTGACCTCGATGTGTAAATTTTAAATTATATTATAAATTATTATATAATTATAAGTATATATAATATATATATATATATATATATATATATATATATATATATATATATGCAATTTATTATATATATTATTTATATATTATATATGCGCGGTACTTATTGGAAAGCTCTCAATATCAATGATAGAGCTAATATATCTAGTTGGATTGATGTGAGTTTGTGACCTGGGTTTCACGCTTTTGTGATCGTCAGGTTTTGTCTGACGTTCGCAAAAGCGTGAAACTAAGGGTCACAAACTCACATCAATCCAACTATATATATATATATATATATATATATATGTGTGTGTGTGTGTGTGTGTGTGTTGGGTACCTGTGGTTGAATAGATATCCTTTTCAAAAACAGTGAAAATAGTTAATTATTGTTCCACCAGGATCGAAACCCGACTGACTTGGCATCAGTACTAAGATTTTGACTCCCAGCAGAGAGGAAAGTGAATTTTTACATATTTTCGAATAAACACGCTAGTGACCCAGAGTGCTCAAGTCGTAGAAGAGCTTTTACATTATCAGCAGTAGCAATCACTGTTTACAAATCCGCGCTTTCCTCTAAAGTGCTCGACCGAACTTCAGGGGCATATATATATATATATATATATATATATATATATATATATATATATATATATATATATATATATATTTGTATATTTAGGCAGCAATCCTTCCTTTTATGCATGTTTCATTAAAAACGACAGACAAAAAACTACGGTTGAGCTTTTATTTAATTTTTCTTGTGTTCTGACAAGAGCTTTCTTTTCTGGACAAAGAGTGTGTAAGAACTGTCCGACAGAACATTCGGACAGTACTTACACAGTCTTTGTCCAGAAAAGAAAAGCTCTTGTCAGAACACAAGAAAAATTAAATAAAAAGCTCAACCGTAGTACCTTGTCTGTCGTTTTTAATGAAACATGCATATATATGTATGTATTTGGGGGCGAGCGTAAGCATTCAGTATTTGCGCACTTATATACAGAACGCTTGCCCTACTCGATGATTACCAAAGTAATAGCTAGCTACTTGTTTCTGGCCACAGCCATCTGCTCGAGTGGTTAGCTAATCTCTGTTGCAGAACCCTACGTTTCACCACCGACAGGGCCAGCCTGTGACTTAAACCACAACTACGCTGAGCGGTCGTCAGTTACATTTTCTGGGATAGAGCGGACAATCTGACCTGATCAGGAAATGAACAAGACCAATAAGATTAAACACTCGGTCACGAAGACACGTGACTTTGTGCTAACGCCATTGTAGATGTTTCCCTGAACAATACAAGAATGTATTAACACTCAAACGTTCTCTATCCTTCTTATCCTCACAATCTTCACTTTTTAACACCTCCTGTTTCATTAATATCACATACGTCATCCAGTAACCCTCTATCTTGAGTGGTTTTCAAGCTTTGCAGAGACTTAAACTCTCACCTCCTGACATGGTACTACGAATTTCACCACTCCATATAGTTTATTTAATAACCTAGCGGATTAAAACTTTGGTTGTGAATTTGGTCCAGTCCATTTTCCAGATAGTACAGAGGAAACATGACTATCAATAAATAAGCATTATTAAAAAGAGTGTTGGTTGTTGTGGATAGTGGCTCGGATTGAGAAATTGGGGAGCCGAGATCGAATTCCAGTTTAGTTTGTAATATTCACTTACGTGCAAATACCCTTGGGAAAGGCATGAATCCATCTCTTCCTCTGCCCCTCAACTATGGGTATTTACAGGACAGACTGAGTTGGTAACCAGTCTAGGAGAAGGAAAACTCTGAATTCCAGAGCAGCCTTACGGAGGCCAACCCTGATGAGGATTCGCCTCCGTCAGGCTATCTTGCATAAGACATACCAATGCCGCTACGGCTGCAGTACAGGAAGTGCTCCTACGTACCTAATAAGTTACTAGACACGTGATCGTGCGTGATTAAAAATGAACAAGACGAAATATCCCTAGACCAGGATAGTGGAAGAAAAAAAATAGCCTTGTATATTAAATATAGAATTCAGTTCGAAATTTCGAAAAGGTTACTCTAATCGACAGACATCTGAATAAGGCCAGAGTACACAACGGCCCAAACGTTGTGATTATAACATCAAAGATAAGGATATAAGTCGAATGTAATTAATGTATTTAGTTCAGGTTTTTTTTCTTAGTTCATGCTTACGGCCACGTCACTTTGAAAGACCGGTTCCAGTACGATCACCGAAGTTAAGCAACATCGAGCCTGGGCAGTTCCTAGATGGTTGACAGGTTAGGAATACAAGGTGTTGTAAGCCTAGGTTGGTTATATTCACTTACACGCAAATACTCTTGGGAAAGGCATGAATCCAACTCTTCTACACCAACTATGGGTTTATTGTAAGATTTGTATCAATTAACCATTATCTGCAAACAAATTCTTACAATCTAAACATATTCTGTGACTCTAAACAACCTACAAAAGGTCGATAAACCGTAGAAAATGAATAAATCAAACAATGAAATGCTGATTAACTCTACAGGAATGTCTTTTAGATTTATTTACATAAACATACCGAAATGTGAATGTTTAGAAAGTGAATAATTTAAGTTATTTAGAAATATAGAGGAGGGGGGTTAGCCCATAAATCACCACTCTAGAACGGCCCTAATATCAATTTTCAATTGACTTTTATTTCATAGTTACCGAATTTTCCTACCTTGTCGAAATTTCCGTTACCAAATTTTCCGATACCGAATTTTCTAAGTACCATAGAAACTATCTTGCCCACAAAGTGATCGATCAGTTTATATATTAATTGTAATATATAATTGATACACCCACTTTATAATTTCTTGCACGTTTATCAAATTCTGATTAGGTATGAATCCACCTCTTCTCCCCCAGCTACGGATTAATTATTAAAACTTGTATCACTAAACTATTATTATCTAAAAAATAAAAAAATCTTACAATCTAACAATATTTTCTGACTTTGAATAACTAGCAAAGGTTTGATAAGCCGTAGAAAACGAATCAATCAATTTTCTTCAAGAATCAAATTTTTTAATATATCCATTATTAATTTATTTTCATTTTTATTTATTTAATGCTAAATCTGAAATGTTCGGAACGAAAGCAAATGAGAAAACTGAAAGAAACATCACAATTTAGAAAATCACGTGGGAACTAGACTAGTGCAATGGCGCCATGGCTTTTATCTCAAATACGCCGTCTGCTGATGCGGGTAAGTTGTTTTAGCGCCGGCATGAACGACCTTTTTTTTTTCGGCGGGAACGGCCATTTTGTCTTTGTGCAGTATTGAACGAATTGATCGGGCTCTGTTTGTAGACACTACTACGACGACTCGCTTGAGTCGCTAAACATGAAAACGGTAAATTAAAATGCTACAGCACATACGTTCGAGGACACACGGCTTCTCCCTCATCCGAAACTACTTTAGATTGCGTTTCTCTAATTTTCAGAATGGTAAACTGCCGCTGGCTGTCGATTTGCGAAAGAGAGAGAGAGAGGGGGGGGACAGCAACAGTGGCAGTAGAGAACGGAAGCGAACGGTCATGAAAGTTTAGCAAAGTGCTGGTGACTGCCTTAAAAGTTTGACACTGTGCACGCGCGCGTTTGCATGTCTACGCGCGCGCGTAGAAATCTGCACGCGCGGCCACCTGCACATGCACGCGTCGCAGGAGCATTTGTAAATTGTTTATTTTCAGTTATCTCTTTATATCAAGCGTAGATGTTTTCATATATTGGCTTTAGTTAAGTACTTTTTTTTGACAAGTAAAACTCAAATACTATCACAAAAGAGTTGTTATCTTTAACATATAAAACTGGTCCTGAACTATTTGTTACATTTGTAAATTTTTCTTCTTTTTAAATCGTTTCACCTCCAAGCAATGAGATAAAAGCCACTATGATGAAAGGGGTTACTGAAAGAGAGAGAGAGAGGAGGGAGAGGTGGCGGGGTGATAGAGAAGGTTCAATAAAAATCATCTATAAATAAATGCGAATGCCAGTGTGTCACTGAGTCACACTTTTTCAACTTTACTCTCAGAGGCCGTAGCCCAACATATCATACCATTTTGGAATCAGTCCGACTCTGTGAGCAAATTAAAAACACCCCGGGCCGGATCTGGATCCGTAATCCTGAAATTCTGGATTCCTAATTTTTCATTACTACGATTGTTTTCGACGATTTTTCTACATGATTTTTGCGACGAATTTTTTTTATACAATAACAATTTTTATAACTTGAAATAAATTTGGGAATAATCGAAATTAATTGCGAAATCCAGTGAAAGTCACCCATGAAATAAAAGTAATTGTTTGGATGGAAAGTAAAGACCTATGTACATCAAATTGTCTTACATTAATTATCGTTGAAATTTTAAAGGTAAACTTAAATATTAATACAATACTTAAATGCAGCAATCAATTTTGAGTTCTTCTGCAGTTTATTGTTGCTTATCGCATCTATTCCTCCCTACTTATTTTGATGAAGACCCAATCAAGAGCCCACCGCTGTAGCTAGCTTAAATGCCGCCCGATAGGGCGGTTTTAAACCTAGTAATAAATAAAAAGAAAGCATAAGATGGTGAAGACAAGATGACGATTGACATTGTATTTAGATATTTGAAGATCATAGTTGATAGGAAGGCAAAAGGTCGGAACGAAAGTGTGGAAGAAAAAATTATTAGCACAGAACTTACGGTTGCAAGTAGCAAATTCAAGAGTGCGTTTATGAGACCTAGCGGCCAATCTAGTAATTCGTGAAGCTGAGGTTCCAAAGAGGAAAGCTCACCAGAGCAGTTACCATGAAAATATCTAAAAAAAATAAAAAATAGATACAGTGAAGCTATGTTGCTGCGGTAAGAAAGTAACCGAAGCTGAGGTGCCAGGTCTTGACGGATAACGTTGCAAATTCTTCTATGAAATAAGGGCTGATTCTCTGTTCGTCACACACTGTTAGCATGTGATGTGCATGCGTATATGTAGTGTATATGTGTATATATGTGTCATGCATGAGTGACTCACAGGTGCATATACCACTTAATGTACACGTAAACATGTATACAATTTGACTGCGATAGAAATAACTCAGTCTAGACAACACTTATCTTGGGATGAGCAATAAAATCATAAAATTGAAAACAAGAAAAACAATTTAAACCCTAAAAGAAAATCAGAGAATTATAAGATGTTATTAAACTTTTCAGTAATTATTCGGCGATAAATAGAATTATTTTAATTTTTTTTTTTTTTAAATTAGTAAAAATAAGTTATGACTGTCTTTGAATTAAAATATACACGCACACAATAGTTTACAGTTATTCTTATTCGCACAAATACTGCTTAATTCTATTCCTGCCGAGAAAATATAACGAGTTCGAATTCAGTCCGAGGTAGTTTGTTTTTAAATCGCGCTATGGTCATCGAGAAAGCTACAAATCTATCTCTTCCAATAGGACAGGTCAGATTACTTATCATGTAATCTAATAAAATATGTAGCATATTACTTGGAGAGGAGATGGGCACCATTACCATTTCAAGGTCATGGTATAATTCGATTATAGATATTACCAAAAACGTTATTAGCTATCAGGTATTTATAGTGTCAAACTGAGTCATTTTTATGAATAATATTTATATTCATATTTGTTTTATATCTTATTTTGATTGATGTTTCTCTATGAAAATCAGAAAACCTTTCATTGCCATTACTTCATTTGTTTAGAACTGGGACTGATTTCTCATCGAGAAACAACATTCTGATCATTTTCGAATCACCGCATATGCAGTGTAAATTGCTTTTCATGCATAATATAAAACAATGTTGAAGGCACGGTGAATTAATGGATAGTGGCTCGAATTAAAGAATCGGAAAGTCGAGTTCGAATTCTAGTCGGATCCATTACATTCACTTACCCTTAGTATGAATCCTCTTCTCCTCCTGGCTATGGTTAAATAGCAGGACAGACTAGGTGGCAACTGAACTAGGAGAAAGTAATTCTGAATTCAAATCTGTATGCAGCCCTAGCGTAGCACATACTATGCAGTTAAAGAAAGGATCGTTTGCATTGGCACAATGATCCCAACTACGTTCGAATGATGATAATGGTGATAAAACAATGGAACTTTTTATATGTATCGGTTATGCGATCTATCACCCTTTCTTAGAAATGAGCAATTTCTTTGGGTTGGTAACAGAAGACATTATTTAATTCTAATAAGCGTATTAGTATATAAAACAATACCTCAAAAATATACATGATTTTTTTTTAAATTTCTTTTCTTTTGTAACAGCTTTCTTTTATAATTTTTACTCCTAATGATTAAAAAAGCATAATCCTTTTTTATATGCAACAAGAAGGTTAAGAGTAAAAAGAATAATCCTATATTATTCATACAAAAAATACTTAACTATTTATATCATTTTTGGCGGTATGTGCAAACTCGTAAGAGAATAAAGTCATTTCTAGCCGGCTATGAATCTGTCAGATATTAAAATAAAATGTGTAAAATGCTTTAATATAAAAGTTGTGTGGATTCAATAAGATTTGCCATTTATTTTAACGAAGAACTAGAAATAAATATTTTTATTATTTTAAATTTAATCATAAATTATTTCTGGTTATTTGTTATTAAAATTTCGTTATGTTTTCAATAAGTTACAAATATGGTACGGAATTTGGGTACGATTTTAGACATCGAAATATGACTTAAAAATTAAGATGACTTAAAAATTCTAGTCTGCAATGAATCCCTGACGGAATCTCAACAGAAACCGAAATAACATTTTAATAAGTTTGTCTCTGAGAATTTTACAAAGAAAGATTTCTGTGTTAAAAAAAATATGATTAAATAACTTATTGGTGCAGAGTTACAAATCCAGTTCGAACTTAGTTAAAGATTGTGAATGTTCAATGGCTGACGGAGAAAAAGTGGATAGATAAGCGCTTGAGTAAACTACTCTCCCTTAATTAAATTATTGCTTAGGCAGTACTAATAATAATATAGCTGTTACACCGATTGCCAGCCTTGACAGAGGTCAGTTATTGTTGGCTCAGTAATAGTGTGCCTACTATTGATAATAAAACAAAATGAGATAAGAAGAAAAATACTCATCGATAATAAAAAATTAAAATAAGAAAAATTTCATAATTATCAAAAAGTTAAAACAAAGAAAAAAATGTTATTGATACCAAAAAAATTTAAATGAAAAAAAATCTTATCAATACCTTAAATTTTTTTAAAGTGACAAAAATCTCATCAATACAAAAATTTCAAAAGAAAAGAGA